CCCCCTTGGATGCCAACAACGGCCCGTTGGCCCTACGGCCTGGGTCTCATGTGATGAGAAGCCCCGGATTCGAAGTGGTGACGAATATCCCACATGGCGCCATCATGTTGTACGATTCCTTCGTGGATCACCGGGCAGTGGAGCATCGGGGTGAGAAGGACCGTACCTTGGGTGCCCAAAGACCAAGACGTTGACTGGGGGGGGGGTAAGCATGAAGGCCATCCACCGTAGAAACGGTGGCATGGTTTTGTTGCATATATTGTTTCTACTAGCTTTTTGCTACTAGTAGTAAGGCATTTGTTACTAGTAGCGATGCACCTGTTACTACTAGCTTTTTGTTACTACTGGTAAGGCACTTGTTACTAGTAGCTTTGTTGCATATATATGTTCGGGTTGTGTTCGATCAACGTCCAAGTCGACGGCCAAATCAGTCCCAACGATCGGTGGGCGCCTTCAATCTAAGAGCGATGGCCTCCAACCTAGTAGCTTCTTGTTACTACTAGTAAGGCACTTGTTCCTCGAAGCGTGGCACTTGTTACTACTAGCTTCTTTGCTACTAAGAAGCTTCAAGGACATACTAATTAACCCAGCTGACAACCCCAATAGCAAAGCATCCACCAGATCCAGTTGTTCTGCGTTGTTCGTTGCGTCGTTCTTTCACGTATCGATCATCAAGGACAATTCTTACAAAACAAAGTGCAATGCACTCCAATAGTTTATAGCACTTAAGGAATGTTCGCCGATGGCCGAATTGTATGTTCAAGTGCTCAAGTGTTTGCACATGGTGCATACGTCTGAAGAACCAATTTTATACAGCGCAACAAAAGATTCGCACCAAAGAGAGGTGTGTGTATATATTTTTCGCATACGCGTGCAAGTTCAATTCTGACAAAGAATGAAGGGAATAAAGATTATACAGATGATAAGAAGATATAGTCACCAAACCAGACAGAAAGTGCTGTTAAACACGAACGCATACTTCATACACGAAAGGTACAATGAATGCAGTTGTCAGAGAGACCATACGCTAAGTTCTGGCACCAGGGAAGATACACTTTTGGACACGCGCGTGCATTGTTTTTACAAAGTGTTGACAAGCAAAGAGGACGCTTATCGAAAGTAAGCAGAAAAACTACATCTAAGCAGTGGATGTACACGAACGATGCAAGAACCGCAGTGTTAATCAGGCAGATTTGCACACCTCGAAAATAGCTTTCTACCAACAACAAAACAATACAAAACATGTTGAATTGCAATCGCAAAATTACGGCACAAAGTTACAAACAAGTCTAATCCGCAAACCAAACGCATGTTCCGTTGACCACGAAGCACTTATATAGCAAATGTTTGCCGATGGTCGAATTGTATGTTCGAGCGCCTGCGCAAAGTCCATACATTTGAAGAACCTATTCAATACAAAACAACGTAGGATTCGCACAGACGAAGAAAGGCGTTTGCGCACAATCCCTACTCGAACGGAGAATAAAAAGGATAGAAGGTTCATATAGACGACAGGAACCTATGATTACACTGGCCAGAAGAAAGTTGCGCTTCTTGATGTTGAAACTCATGACAACCCTATCCCCGTAGAATCCTACACCATGAGACAAGGGAAGGTGTGGGCGGTCATTTGTCACCCCAAAGCCTTTTATGATTATAAATTTAAAACGGTGTGATAAATGACCGTCCCACACCTGCCACGAAAATTAGAGTTGTTAATTCGATCCGCCGCTGACCTCAGAGTGTTTTGTAAGAAGGCTAACAAGCGTAAACTTTTGTCTGCCTGAAGTATCCCCAAAGGAAGAGGAAGATGTATTGAAGGACAAACGCATAATTTCTTTCTACGCCCAAGGTGCACTGAATGCAGAAGGCAGTTACTAGCCGGCTAAGATTTTTATACAAAACATAAACAAAGAATGCTCCTCTCAAGCGAAACATGTTTTTACATGTCGACGCATAATCTAGGCGCGACATGATGCGCAAGCGTCAGCACGCAATGTGTGCCGGGTGTATGTACACGCAAGCGCACAGTTCATACACGCACCGTTCGATTGAGACCGACACAACCACAGCATGCACAAGCAAAAACATCTGCGCAGATAGCCACAGAACCGATACACCACCAAAACACCACGAAAACACCACCGGCACATCCAAACAGCGAGACACGGCATTCACGAAACACCAGAACAGACCGAGACACCGGGACCCAGGCTATCGCTATTGGGGAAAAAGGCGACTAGTAGCGGCCTCCAACCTTAAGTTTCCCGAAAAATCCAGGAACCAACTCGCTATAGTGCGAGCTATCCTGCGTCCAAGGTAGCATTCTTGCAGCTACTAGCTACCTCTTCTACTAGCTACCTAGCTACTACTAGCTACCTACCTCTAGCAGCCTACCCCCCCTTTAAACAAATAGATAAATAGACTTTTTTACAGGTGAAACGATTCCCAGTGGATATGTTCTCCCAAGGATATGTTCTCTACTACGAGTTCGAGACTCGGGGCATTTTCACTGGCTATGTCGATGGGCACTTTGGTCAAGAGGCTTTGCAATCCGAGCCTTTGCTGATCAACCTGATTGGTCAAACGTGGCCGCCCACGTTGGCTGTTATGGCTCATTTGAGTCCGGTTGGCCCAATTGGTGACTTTAACCCATACACAGAGTAAGCTAGAACCCAAAGAAGTATCGACTCTTGCCTTTTTTTGAGTATTGTGGTCACCCTCAAACAGTGCTCTTCTCTCTATGAATCGAACGAACGCTCCGGATCCTAAGTCTTCGTCATCCCATCACTTGCGACTTGAATTTTCGTTACGTTCGTAGCGTCCCTTGTTACTAGTAATTAAGGCCAGGAGCTACGTTCGTAGCGTCCATTGGTCTCAGAGGCTGCGGGCTCATGTTGCAAGTCTTCCTCCTTCGTCGGGTTTGCGACGAAGAGTCCTTCGAGATGTCCATTTCGAGAATCCGACCATTTCACCGCGCAGGAGGTTCCCCCATATGAACTTCACCTCGTTCCCCCAAATCCATCCGGTCCTGCCCCGCGAAGCCTTCGCTTTTGCTTCTACACACGCCATGTGGCCGAATGGACCCCAAGCGGAAACCCCGTGGCACTCTAAGGAGCACGACTTTCGAGAAGTGGTGGATCCCGTACTGCGACGCCATGTGGCGGCAGACGTGGCGTGTCGGTGAAGGACAGGACAAGCGCTGGCCGCGGGGCAGAGCGATAGATTTCATGTCAGGAAGATTTGATCTGTGTTCATGTTGTCTCATATGAGATGACTACTTCAATACTGGTCATCCAAGCAGCAACAATGATCAAGTGAAAAGAGAAACAAGCTGGATGAATATGCATGGATGCTCCATAGCATGCTTTACAGTTCATGTTAGACAGCCATGGAGCTTGCATGAGCTTGCAGCGGCAGGTCCTTGGAACTTGGAACCAAAACTTGTTCCGGCGACCGTGTGGCTTCAGGACATTAAGCCGCATGACAATCATGTGACCAAGCAGGTACAGAGCAACAGTAGACTCGGCGCTGACAATGGAGGCAATTAAAAGAAACCAACTGGATTTAAGACAGCTCTTAGGTTGGAGGCCATCGCTACTAGGGTCTTCCTTTGCAAGATTGGACGACCCTGGACCCACTGGCATTCACCTTGCTGCTCAGATGGAAAATGGTTCCTCTCAGCTTTTCTCCGAAGGAATCCGCCAACGGTGCTTCCCTCCCCCAAAAACGACACCCAGAACCGCTCCGGGCAGACCGGGCCGAGCAGCGCAGTCCGCGGCGAAGCAGTCTGGATGCCCACTTATGACATCGAAGGAGTCTCAGTGGAGTTTCCTCATGAGGCACAGCCGCTGCACGGCAACTTCTTGAAAGGGGTGACTCAGGAATCGGTCAGAGGTGATTTGGGCAAGGCGAGATGGGTGCTAGAGGGGACCTTGTAAACTGCGAGGTGAGGAGACACGGATTCCATCTTTTCTCCCTCATGGAATTCTCAGAGACAAGGATTTGAGCTTGTTTTCAAGCTTTCCTGCCCATTTGCAGGCCTATGACTGCCAGCTGGAGTACATGCGCTCAGTTGTGAGGGCGCTGGAACATGGGGAGATGCTTGGCGCCAGCGTCTCTTGACATCCCTTTGCTTTCGTTTGTGGCGGATCGTCGAGTCGTCGAGGTCATCGGTCTCCGCCCTGAGGAACGCCCTTCTGGAGTCCCCGACGGGCACGGGGAAGACGTTCCTCGGCGAATGGGGTGGGTTTTTGGTTCGGAGAAAGGATTGGAATGGGATCGGTTTTTCTACGCTAAGCACCACCTGAAGCAGAGATATAAAGGTGCCGGCCTCGCCCACCAGTCGTCGGAGCAAAAGGCATTGGTTCAATTCCATGTTGGTCTCAACAAAGACACGTGGGATGAAGTGGGCAATGGGCCGGGTGACAGCAGCTTCCAAGAGGCCAACTGTCCATTGTATCTTCCGATGTCCATCGATTTTCTCTTTGTTTAATCACATGATGATGCAAGAATACAACTGTTGCGGGCATTGTCGCAAGCAACTTGTGGACAGCAACCAATGATCCCTCGACGACTCGATTGATGCGATGCTTTTGTTCAATCCTTTTTTCCTGGTGATGCTTGCTCCTAATCCCCTCTCAGCGGTCAGGCTCGCCTTGCTTTGCGCTTCTTTGGGTTGGAGACGGCACCGGAAGGAGGCGACGATGTGTTCACCTGCTGGATCCACCGGTGGAAACGCCACCGGGGCGGGGTGATCGGCCTCGTCGCGTTCGGCCGCGACCCGTGGCCAGTCGCCAAGACCAGTCGAACGTCGCCAGTCGCAAGGGCGACTCGGGTTCATTGGGTGGCTCATTGAGAAAAAATCATGCGTTCAGATTCTTTCCTTTAGACCCGAAAATTCTGGACCTTTGTGGCCATCGCTTCTGGGTTGGAGGCCATTGCTAGTAGGTTGGAGGCCATGGCCATGGCTTCTATTGAAAAAAAGAAAAAGCAACTAAGCCCCTCGATCCGCACCCAAATAAATTCGCCGGTTGTCAGAGGCCGCGGAGGCGGCGAAGACCAACTGGGAAGCGCATGCAGAGGGGAAGTCGTTCAACGTCCCAAACATCTTCTACTCCTCCAGGAGCGGAGGGACATGGGAGGACATGGAAACATCTGGAAATATTTGGAGAGTTATTTTCTCTTGGGTCCCTTTACATCCCTCTATGTTTTGCCTTCTTCGCTGAAGTTTGAGCACCGAACAGTAAAGGGGTGGGTCACAGAGTGTTTTTGTCGGCGCTGATGCCACAGAGATATCACCAGATAGCAGGCCGGTCGCGTCGCGGGAGTGAGAAAGGTGCGTCTGACGGCACAAGCCTGTACACCGAACAAAAGAGTAATTAAAGGACCGGATAACCCCACATATGAATCTTTACGAATCTGAAGGTTCTAAAGCACAAAGCAGTCAGAGGCTCAATAGCTTCTACAACACGGCCTTGTCAGGAAGTGATATCAGCTTCCGACAACAGAGGGGTGGGAGAGAAGGTGTAAGAGAGTGATGTGCACGACGGATGTACGAGGTATTGTGCACACAGGTGTGCGCAGCCACAACTAGCCAACAACACCAGCGGTTGTCGCACGTCCGCAATACGGGGCATAATGTACGAAAGTTGTACTACAAAGTCGCCAGTTCTCAGCTTCCAGCTCCACAGATTGCTCCGCGTACTAAAGTTGTACTAGAAACTCGCCAGTTCTCAGCTTCCAGCTCCACAGCTACTCCGCGTACTAAAGTTGTACTACAAAGTACACACGGAGCCAGATCTACTGCGATTTACAATGGGACAGCGTCGCCGGCGCCCACACCCGACCAGAGCCGACCAGCGCCGACCAAGCAACCACCAGACCCTCTAACGGAGCCAGATCTACTGCGATTTACAATGGGACAGCGTCGCCGGCGCCCACACGACCCTCTAACGGAGCCAGAACTACTGCGATTTACAATGGGACAGCGTCGCCGGCGCCCACACACCCGACCAGCGCCGACCAAGCAACCACCAGACCCTCTAACGGAGCCAGATCTACTGCGATTTACAATGGGACAGCGTCGCCGGCGCCCAGAGCCGACCAGCGCCGGCCAAGCAACCACCAGACCCTCTAACGGAGCCAGATCTACTGCGATTTACAATGGAACAGCGTCGCCGGCGCCCACACCCGACCAGAGCCGACCAGCGCCGACCAAGCAACCACCACACCCTCTAACGAAGCCAGATCTACTGCCATTTACAATGGAACAGCGTCGCCGGCGCCCACGCCCGACCAGAGCCG